TCTACTCTTGTATAAATTACGTTCGGCTCGTGTATTTTATGTTCTGGATAATTCATCCTTGCTAATCGTGATTTTTTAATGTCCACATATGGCGATGAGTCAGAATGTCATTTCTGCATTTGAAATAAATTAAAAGTTTTGGATCAGTCAATTATCGTGAGTAGACGTTGCAGTACAGCGGAAAAATCATGTCCGCAAGTCAACTGACCCCTCCATAAAAAGTGATTCATCATTTCATTCAGATTGATGTTTTTTTTTTCTCTTCGTGCGCGTGTGTATCACATTCGCGTACATTCTCTCACACAATCGTTAATCCGACTGACACAAATTGACGCGAATGAGTGACTGGGTTATATTATGATTTCGTAATATCAAGTGAGTAAAACCGATAACACATTTGTAGCATGTGTCTACAACAACATTGCGTACACTACTACAATTGTGCTACTTCTGGTTGCACTAACCAGCCGTGACGACCTCGTAACCATTATCGTTTGTCGTAAACATATTCAGGGGAAGTTGCACACTAGTCCAGAAATACGAGTGATACGTCGCCTAGAGGGAATTAATCGCGGGACAAGTTCAGGGTCATTATTTCAATACAAATCATCGATTTATCGATAGAAAGACAGATAAAGATTTATTTTGTTTTGACTCAAGAATGTTCACCCACACAATTTGACCCATCGATTTCAATATCACGGGTCAGTTCAAGTTATTTCATATCGAGGGTCAAGTGAAAAAATTTCCAGTGATCGGACTCGACCCCACGACCACTGGGTTATCAATCTGAGCTTTTACCCACATGTCTATTCAGTCATCTCAATGTCAGAATTGTTTTTCCTCATTAACGAGACAAATGGGAGGAGTCTCGGATGATTTGACCCAACGGTAGCGCGAAAAGGTGTGCGAGTGGGTGAAGGGGGGTTAAAGGGGTGAATCGAGGGTGAAATGGGAATGAGAAGAGAATCCGGGGCGCGTCTGGTCACTGTCCGTGGAGTGAAATACGCTCGCAAATACAAACGGGCGTCCATTTGTCGGACTGTCAGTTCGGCACTACTGCCGACCTCTCAGCCCCCCAAAACGCTTTTCCATCCCCTTTCCCGTGTATTTTCCTCCTATCCAGTGGCTGAACCGCCGTTCCTATCCCACTTCAGAATGGGCTCTACTCTATTTCTCAAGAGAGGTTCAATTTACCGAAAATGGGAAAACCAGAGTGGACGTTGCCGTATATAACTCCACGATTCATTTGTATGGATTTGCAACTGACAGATTTTCGATGGGCGGAA